AGAATCACCCCCCCCCCAAAGTCTTTCCCAGGCAGGAGGGAAGTTTCCCAAGATCTTTGTGGCATCCTCAGAGTGTACCAGGTCCTGTTCCCTCGCCTCTCCCCCGGCAACTTAAAAACCCCTGGAGGCCAGCGCCCCTGACTTATTAATCTTTGTATCCACAAGTGCCTTGTACATGCCTGGAACATCCCACCCACTCAAAGAGCGGATGTTAAACAAACGCGTAAATGAGACAGTTTCCATGGAAAGACAAATAACCACTGCGGCCTTCTCTTCTCTGTGCCGCAGACTCAACCCACCACACTCCCCACCCCCTCCCAACAAGCCAGGGAGCTCTAGATGCAGAATAGGCCTGGGGGGGGGGGAGCCAGGCAGGTACCCCTGATCTTGACCTGCTGGCTGACCCAAGCTGACCGCCTCCCACGTGAGAGTCACACACACACCGGGGGGCTGGGGTCTCCTTCGGACAAGTTGAAAACGTGAATGCTCCCTGTCCCTGTTTGGAATCGAGAAAGTAACGATTAACCAGGGACACTGATCTTTTTCCCCCCACAGTGGCTTTAGAAATATTAGATGCTTGACACGAGGACCAGTAACTGCACCTCGCACCGGCCGCCACGTTTGCATATGAATCGCCCCCAGTCCCCTTTGCTTTGGAGACGACTCCGCGTCTCTCCCCATCACAACACGGAAGGTCTGGAAGGAAAACTGCCCCATCTGATGTTACGAATTGCCCCGTTTGCCACATGCCAACCTGCGTTCATCTCCCAAGGTAAGCGTGCCCAGTGTGGCCTCATGTTCTTTGCGCTTCCTTTCCTGTTTCCCTCGCCGCACTAGACCCCTTAGCAATGCAAGTGTTGTTTGAAGGGTTTCTCAAGGGTGAATAGTTGTTTTGAACCCCTTCCGTGGGGACACAGGACGCAGCAAGCAGCTCTGGTTGGTCTCTGAAACAGGAAGAGCGAGGTCCTGGTGACTGCCTGGTGGCGGCAGGTGGTGCCGGGGAGGGATCGCTGGGCGGTCCAGGCGCCGGACTCTGCTAGGAATCATTTTCCTGGGTCCCTGTGCGTTGAGATGGATCCACAGGGAAGGGACAGATCCCAGGGAAGGGCCCGGAGAGAGGCTCCAAACCACCAGGGAGCAGAAACTGAAAAGGGGGGAAGGTCTGAAATACAAGGATGTGGTTTT